AATAAATATGATCATCTAGACATCATTTCCTCACTGAGAACAGGAAGTAGAACCTCTGCCTATTTGATGTCAGTCTATTAATGTGTCAGATACATTGTAAAAAATTATTACATGGTTCTGGGGAAAAAAAAGGAAACATGGGAAGTGATTTTGTGGCTGCCTGAGAGCAGAGAAGGGGGAGGGAAGAAAAGGCCACGGAACGGGTGTACTTAACTAACTAGTTTCACTTACGGCTCTGCCTGATGAATGACCACGTTTGACATCACTGATAATTACAATACTATCCAGGGCCCGAGAGGAAACCAGGGTGCTGGGCTCTGCTAAAGCTTCTGCCCGTGGCATCTGCTTGGGGAGGGGAATCAAATTTTTTTTTTCTTCTTAGTAAAATTATCTGCCAGAGAAACAATGAAGCGTGAAAAAGTACTGTTTAGCGTGTGCATGTCTACCATAGGCTTTTAAAATGCTGGCTGTTACCTTCTGGGACACTTCCCTTTATACAATTGTATATATCTTGTAAATTTCAGTGGAATTTTTTTTTTTAAGCGATATTACAGGTTGAAAATAAGCGAGTCTATTTGGGTTGGCGCGTGGTAAAGTCAGAAGCACCAGCATGTTTCCTGTGGGTCTGTACCTAAGACCCTCAGACAGGAGGCACAGTTAGCGTGGAGGTTATACATGTAATACCTTTCGTCCCTAACACAATCATTTATTCTCTTTTTAAAAAAGGAAATTAAACAGAAGTTAAGAGTTGGCTGTTTTTCATAACTGCAGACAGTAATAATAATAATAATAAATAGAATTCTCATGTAAATTTTATTTTGTGAATACACGGGTAAAGCACATGATCTTGGGGCTTCCAAAATGTGGTACGTCCCACAGATGGCTCCGACTTGTGAGTGGGCTCAGTTCTGCATTTGGAATGAAAGGAATTTTAACACTATTTAGACAAAGCCTCAAATGCAGTGTGAAGGGAAAGCTAGATTTCCTCACATGATTTAAACAACAACAACAAAAATTAGAGACCTATTTGTAATAAGGGCGCTCCGGCAGGATTTAGGATATTTTGGTAAAAAAAAAAAAAAAGCATGTATTTGTGTTCACCACACATTACATTTCAAATCTTTTGAGGAATTTTTTTCCCCAAATATGGTTACTTCTTCTAATGCCTTTTATTAGGAGTTAAACTTCTCTTAAAGGCAGCCACCAAAATCGCCTTTTTTTTTTTTTTTGCCAACACCACTTTGTGTTTCTCATATTTGGGTCCAAAACCTGCTTATTATATTGAACTGCCTTGTAGGGTCCTATCAAAACACTTAATTGTTGGACCACTGTATTTTTCTCTGAAGTGGCATTTCCCATAAGATAATTATAATAACTCCATCCTGGTCACTCTTATCTGGAAAATGTGTTTGCCTGAAATCTTGCATCAGATGCTGGGCTCTCTAAGTGATACATCCATTTCTGCTTCTACAGTGGGAGACTGCAAATCTCGTTGGGATCAGACCAAAAAAAAAAATCTCTGAAGCAGAGAAGAACAGCTAAGTTCAAGCACATGGAAGAAGGTTTACTAAGACATCTGTTAAAGCAAAATGAAGTGTGGATTCAGGGTCCCTATCCAAGCTAACAGTGAGAGAAAGGTCAAAATGCCCTGTTAGCCTCTGTCTTCGTGTTCTGTGAAAGAGGGGAGGGAGGCGGATACACCGGCTAGAACTCATCAGCGCCAAGCACAACCTGCTTTCCTCAAAATCAGGCCTTCGTTCAGAGTTGCAATATTATCTTTGTTTCCTTTTTTTAAAAGGACAGAAAAGAAAATAAAACAGAAGTCACTGTGTTGGCCTCTATCTTCAAAACAGTGTTGGCTTTGTCTAACAGCCTATTAGCGATCTAGGGGAAGTTGATAAAGAATGCAAACTGCATGAATTTGTAACATTAGTTGCATGAATTTGTGTCATTTTTAAAATAGGTCAGTGCTGTTAGTGAAGGTGGCTCCAGACTCTCCAACCGATCTTTTCAGGGAGCCCCCACTCACAACCTGTGTTGGGATAAAACACCAATAAATCAAAACACAGCTTTTATTTCAATCAGGCATTATTTTTTCGCTCCTATTCCAGGAGCTAAGGTGCTTTGCAATCATTACCAGCTCAGCTACATGGAGATGCCCTCAGCTAAATTTGCACATGGAAATATGATTTAATAACACAGTTTAAACCCAGATATATACTTGGACTTCTGTAAGTGAGAGGAGGATTTTTCTTTTTCCTATTTAAGACAAATGACCTTCAAAGTTAAAAACACAAACCAACAACTTTGATGTGTTCAAAGTGTTGATGTGAAATCTTGTCAGGCCTTGCTAACAAGAAAATCATGGCGTGTGAGGGAAGAAGAAAAATAATCAGTTTCAGCCAAAAGGCAAGAACTGTTTATCTTGACCACCGAATGCATATGTGCCCAAGCCACCTCTGCCAATGCCCTCTTTCTAGGCTCATTTCTCTCCAGATGGGCACGCTGCTGGGGGATCAGTCGCTCGGACGAGGCCGAGAAGGCCCTGCTCACAGGCTGGCATGTTTGTTTGTTTCCAGCAGGGCAATGGTGTCTCAACTTATTTAAAAACTGAAAACTTTGAGGGGGAGGGGGATTTTCAGAGATCGCAATTTACACTTACATTACATGTACTAATTATTAGAAGGACTGCACTAACCAAACAGCCTGTGTTTCACCCTGAATTATTGCCTCCCTACTTCTTCATTACTCCTACCTCTAGAGAAAAGGATGCCTTTCAAACTTCTAATGCAGAGCTGGGCCCAGTTAAACTGCACACTAAGAAACTGAGTACAGAATCAAAAAAAATGCAGTTTATTATTGTAATTATTCTTTCTCTTGATATAACCAGAATTGAAAATGAAAGAAAAGCACATAGGAACATCACGCGTGGTTAGTTAGTAACTCAAGATATAAAACAATTTTGCACAGCAAAATATGTAAAAGAAAAGTAACTGACAAGATTTTTTTATATTTATTGTGGTAAGATTTACTTTTCATTTGTTTTTAAAGACAGGATGTCAGTCCCTGAAAATAACATTTACTGATTATTGCCTTTAAAACTGTGGATTTTTTTTAAGTTACAGAAAATCCAGTTCTGCACCACAATACAACTGTAAAAAAATCTGCATCATCTTAAAACTGTGCAGTAATGCCATTTTTATAACTGCATAAATTTTATTAGCGTTCTAAACAGTTTTGCAAATTTTTTTTGTATTATATGCTTGCAGGTTATATCTTAGTGCAATTCAGTCCCAAATACTTTAATTTGAAAAAAAAAAAACATACATTTTGAATGTAAAATACCCCTACAGATATAAACAGGGGTGCTTCCCCTTTTAATACTTTGGTTTTCAATACAGTCAGTGGTATAGCAAAGACTACACATACCCAACTTATATTTAAGTTGCAAGCACATGCTGTATAAGCTACTTTTTTTTTAAACAGTCCCCTTGCAAACTCTACCCCCCTTAACATCACAACAGTAAACAATTTAGTGCATCAATCTTTTAAAAAATCTACAGCTAAACAGACCTAACTCTTTCAAATTTATCTATAACATTCCTTTATCTGTAGCATACATTTTAACTGGGCTAACAGATTATAAAAACTAGAATTAAATTATATACTAGAAACCCATAGCATTCCACATTTGACAATGACCAAAAGCCAAAAAAAATAAAAACAAAACAAACCAAAAATAATGGGGCAGATTTCTTTCTCTTAAAAATAAATTTTAGACTGCTTTCGGCAACAGCACAATTTTAGTCCACCCAATGGGGTGGTCATTCTCATTTAAAAAGAATACATTAAGAGTTCTTTACTGTTGGCCTTGTTAAAATTTTTAACCCATTCTGGCATCTTTGACAAGGAACCCCTTCAGTGCATTTACAATGGGAGGCTGAAGTTCTGAGTAACTCAAAGCAGTTTTGGAGCAGATGCAAACTTTCATGGGAAGAAGGCTCTAGGGTTGCACTTTTTTTTTTGTTCTGAACTGAAAAAGTCATGAGGCAATAAAACAAAAGTATGAATGCCAATGCCATAAGTCTTCGAACGTCCATTTCCAAGCCAAAAGGAAAAAAAAAAAAAGAAAAAATAATTATACCATACATGTCCAGCATGCAGGCTTTTTTTTTTATTAATATAATGTCTCTTTTCCATAAAGTCTTTGAAACAGTTATAGTTCATTGTTGCTAAGACAAAGTAGCAAGCATAATAATGCATGAGATGAGAATGAGTTTTTTTTTTTTTTTAATGGCAGACTAAACTCTCAGATTTGGCATCATAAGGACCAAAACTCACGAGTCACACCCAGAAGGTTGATGCAGGCTTGATTGTGGCAGGTTCATGAGGATTTTTTTTTCCTCTATTTAAGCATAACAATGCTCAAAAAACCCCGATGGAACTCAGCACGCTGCAAGTCTATAACATTTCACATTTTTTTTTTCCTTTGCAAGCTCAATCTCATATGAAGAACTCAGGAGGAGAAAAAAAAACTTAGCCTTTTTTTTTTCTTTAATCTCAAAGGAGATGGGTGGCAAGGGAGTGAGGGTGGAGGATGGGGGCAGGGGTCGAGATAGGGGCAACACAGCAAGCTCCAAAAACTCAAAGTTCTTTAAAAAAAAAATCCAAACAAAATAAAACACACACACAGAAAATGAACACCAGCTCATGAACTGAAGAAGAAAAAAAAAAATATGTGAATGATGCAGGCTTCAAAGGTGAGCATGAAGAACTCTGTTGAGATCTTTGAACATTGAGCAAGTGAAAGGTGGCGGGGTGGGGGGTGGGATGTGTGTGTGTGTGCGCGGGGGGCAACTGGGGGGGCAGGGGGCAAGCTCGGGAGGGGAGGGGGCGAGGTGGTGGCGAGCAAGGCTCTTGGAACTGCAAGCCCACACCCGAGCCGGACCCCCACGGAGCGCTTATCAAGGTGGCGAGCTGGGGTCGCGTGTCAGACTCACATGAAAAACTCGGGAGAGGACGGGTTGTCGCTGCTCGAACCGTTTTCTCGGAAGCCGCTGCTCACCAGCTTCTCGTACTTCTCCTTGTACGCGTCCCTCTCGCGCACCAGCCTGGAGATCTCCTGCTTGAGGTGGTCGACCTGCTGCAGTAGCTGGTTCTTCTCGGACTCCAGGACGTGCCTCTGCTGCACCCGCTTGAAGCGGCAGGACTGGGCATAGCCGCGGTTTTTCAGGGTCCGCCTTTTCTGCTTCAGCCGGATCACCTCCTCCTTGCTGACCCCGCGCAGCTGCCGGTTCAGCTCGCGCACCGACATGGTCACCAGCTGCTCGTCGGAGAAGCGGTCGTCGAAGTGCAGGCCGCCGGCCGCGGCGTGATGCGGGTGCAGGGCGCCCCCCGCCCCCCAGGGCAGAGCCAGCGCCGCAGGACTCGGGCTCTCCAGGGAGACAGGCCTTGGCCAGGCCGGACCCAGGAAATCCTCTCGCCCCGGCTGTGCAGGGCGCCCCCCCGTGGCCGTTTCCCTGAACTGCTCCAGGAGGAAACTATTTCAACTTTTCTTCCATTATAGATATCTACAGTACAATGTCTCATGAAGACTGTACTCACTAAAAGCCGAACCTTAAAATCAGGGCAGAAAAAAACGTTGTGTCCTATGCCCAAGCCCAAGAGAGTGAAAAAAAAACTGGACAGGGCAAACAGATGGGCCAGAGCCACACCTGATTTCAGACTTTCTCCAAACCCCGCTCTTGCCGTTCATGCTCGGCCTCCAGGCGCTCCTTCCCCTCGATTCCGGGTTACCTGAGAAGTAGTCTCACAGCAAAGGATGTTGCTCCAAATGTGCCCGAGTCCAGTGTAGCTCTGCTCCAGAACCCACCCCCAGCTCCGTCCTCCCCCCAGTCCAAACCATCCTCATCCTCAGCCCAGTTTTTCCTCGGTCAGGACAACACCCGTTAATCCGTGAAAAGACACGCCTGCTGTTTCTTAAACTCACTGTCTAGAAAGGGAGAAAAACACAGAGAAGGTGAGGCGGGAGGGGGACGAGGGCAGAGGGAAACTCCTCGTATGAGGAAGATGTGTTCTTATGTAACAGTCTTCAAAGGTTCCTCTAGGTAGAGTTTGCAGCATTAAGTTTCCTAAGACAGGATGGGTTTCTCTGTGTCACAGGTTCTGAGACAACAAACAAAGAGAAAGCGGGGAAAAATGGGCCCCGGAGGGCGGGAGGCGGCCGAGGCTCTTCAGCAAGGCGCTGGTTCTGCATTCACAGCTCAGCACCTCAACGCCTGCTGACGTGTCCGCTGTTTGCGATACAGTAGAGCAATGTGCTGGTAAAAACTGATCCAATCCAAAAAATAATATTAATAATAATAATTATAATAATTATAATAATAATAAAAAGTCAAGGTAAAATAGCAGCTGCATTTTATGTGTTTGTTGGTATTATGGGATTTCCAAAACAAAACACAACTTTTTTTCTGTTGTTTTTTTTTCCTTTCCTCTTCAGATCTACTGAGTCTGGAGATCCACTCGTGTCCTGGGCTTAGATGCTCGACTCCTTCGGGGGCAGGTCCACGTTGGTGACGGAGGTCACCAGGGAGACAAGACAGTCCGAGGTAGTGCCGTTGACCGACCTCCGGATCAGGGACACGCGCTCCTCCACGCAGCCCGCGGACAGGCGAGCCTCCGCGTCGTGGTCCCAGCACTCCTCGATGGTCACACAGAGCTGGGCCAGGCCCTGCACGCCGGCGGAAGAGGAAACACATGCCTTTGCTGGTGGCCGTCAGCGAGGACAGGCAAACCAGACGGTGCTCCCGAGGACAGAGCCCACAGGCCCGTCCACAGGGGTCCGGGGGAAGCTCCCCTGCCAGCAGTCAGCATCCTGAGCCCACCGGCCTCCCCCACAGCCCCCAGGAAAGGGCGGAAATCCAGGGCCCCACGNCCGCCCCCCGCCAACGCCTTCCTGACCGCCCCCCCCAACCCCCCACCAGGGATCGTGAATTCGCCGGGTAGATTTTTCTCCTTGCCCCACCTTAGGGCACCCAGGTTTCCACCCGGGGGGAACCTTCCTTCCCCCGAGCCTGGCAGTGCGCGGAGCGCAAACTTGGACCCAACTCTTTGTCCCTCTCCCCGGTGCCCGCGCGCGCGTTGGAGCGCAGGGGTCCCCACTGCGCGCTCAACCTCGCCCGGCCGCGCGCCTGCCAGGGCGGCTCCAAGTCCGCGGAGAGAGAACCCGTTTTATCAGCCTCTTTTAAAGGACTTGAAATAAGTTGTTCAGGGGTCATTCCGCGCGGAGGCTGGCTGCCCGCTGACGTCTCCAGTCCTTGGCTGGGGGGTGCGAACGCCTACGCGCATTAACTCCGGGAAAGCTCGGAGTCAGGTCAGCGCGGCTCCTCACCCTCGGGCTTCTGACTCTGGCCCGAGTCTGGCCTTTGGGATTCATTTCTCTCCCTCATACACACACACACATACTCATCCACCCCCTTATGAAATCTGACTCCTGTTTATCAGGGTCCTGCGCGCCCTTTGCACTTTTACATTTCACTTAATTATTTCAGACTTGATCGCGGGGAGGAACGGGGGCGAAAAAAGAACCAACACCCCAGCCTTCACCAGCTCCCCTCGAAGGGTTAAGTTTTAAACCGCGGTTTCTCGGACGGGTCCGGAAACCCAGAGTGGGGGCTGGGGAGGACGGGAGTCGGGGCTGCTTCTCCCCTCGGGGGTGTTGCAGATGCTAATAACTGTTCAGGTTTCTCCATCGATTCTTCTAAAGCTTTGCAAAAAAAAAAAAAAAAAGAAAGAAAGAAAAAAGAAAGAAAGACAAGAAAAAGGAAGGAAAAAAAAAAGAAAGAAAAAAATCAGCAACTCTGTTTCTAAGATTTTAAAGCGATAGGCCAGATGGAGAAGCCGAGATTTATTTGAGGGAAAGCGAGAGGGCGCGGAGCCGACCCAGCGTTTGGAAGACTAGCCTGCCTGCCTGGATGTTGGACTGTTGATTCCTCCAATTAATGAAATGCACTTGGTGTTAATCATATTTATCTTATTTTATGGGAGGGGAGACGCTAGGAGGGTGCATTAAAAAAAAAAATCTGAAAAGCCTGCAAAACGGTCGAAGAGTGAAAACTATTGTTGGACCGAGTTGGTTCTTACCTCAACAGCGCCACCTTTCGGCAAAGGTCAGTTGAAATTGATCCGTGTCCAGTTTTGTTGATGAAATGAAAAGAAGCTGGTTTCCCTAGGTGGGAGGAGGAAAGAGGGGCGGAAAGTTAGTTTGGCTGCAAGTGGGAGAACCAGACTTTGTCAGGAAAGGGGCTGAAGGCAGTGATGGCAGGTGCGGGGAAACTTTTTTCCCCCACCGTCCCGTCCCCTTTGGCTGTGGAGAAAGCGCCCAGGGGACCCGGGAGACTTATGCAAGAGGATCCCGTGTAACAAACAGGGGCCCAAACCCTTTTTAAAAAGTGCCAGGATGCATTTTCAACGGGCTTTATGGCAATATCAATAGAATTAAAGTTACTTGTAATTCAGTGATAAATGAGATGTCTCTAGTAAGTAAGATTAAGTGCAGTGCTATAAAGTTGTTTATCTGAAAAGTAATTCTCAGAAAACCTGACTTCTGACACTTAGTCATATATTAAGCCAGCTTCTTGAACATTGCACTTCAGAATGCTCTCACCCACCCGACTGCATACTTTACTATTTATAATGAGACCTTAGGTGTCACTCACTGGCTTCATACACCAGATTAGACTTGTGCTCATTTCTCTCATGCTGGCAGCCTTGGCTTTCAGCAAACCTGGGAACCCCTAAGGAGTGACTCCCCAAAAGGCTTGTAGGCAAGTCGTTACCCTAAAAGGCCAGCACTGTTGGTATTTTCCGGAAAAGCACTGTTTCTTTTCATCATTACTGCAGAGACCATGTTTGTAAGAGTAGCTTTTGTTTTATGGGAGTACTTTGTTAGGATGGAATGAGATATGTCCATAACCAGTTTGGGGAAGAAAGAGTGAAGATTATGTCAATATTTATGCAGCCTCACAGAATCTCTTTGCTTTGCTCTGTCAAACAGTATTTCACCTAGTAATGAAGTTAAGGGATTACAGTTTATGTATTCAGAGGAAAAATTTACTGCTTAAATTACATAAACATATTATGTCATTAGCATTGTTTATAGCAATACTTTTCTAAGTCTTTTTAAAGTTATTAGCCACAAATGCTTGAAGTTTATATTTTAATGTAAAATATGAATTTCAGTGTACTTAGGAAGAATTAATTCATTTTTTATTACAATTTTTGCTTTAATCCTTTTGCATCAGATTTTTGGTAAAAGCTGTGAGATATGATCCCTGCCGCTCATGAAGGTATTTTTGGTCAGGAACACTGAAACTGCTACATTTATAAATAAACAACATTTATAAACAAAGTTCACTAATGAGGAAGATCTTGATTCATGGCCATGCACCTAATTGTTGCAATTATGTATCATTTCTAGAAATTAAATGCCCATGTTTGGGCAGCTAAATGTATTATTATCTGCACATTTTATTTTTGTACACTGCTGTCAAGCCAGGGTATTTTTCTTTCTCTCACTGCAGAGTCTTTTATAGTCTCCCATTTTCTCTTGGAAAAAAAAAAAAAAAAGATACAAATTATTTTTTAGACATGGAGCAGTGGTGCTCCCAGGCTTATAACTTAATTCTCATTTTTGTCCTTTTTCCATTATTATTTGGTGATTCACAGGGGTGTCTAAACATTTACAGGCCTCTGTTAGCAGCGTTTCTCTTGTAACAATTGAGCTCTCTCATTTTAATTAGTACTATTCAGGTTTTTGAATCTCTACAATTACAGCAGGCCACATTTCTTTAGATTTCTTTGCTAACATTGTTTGTTTCACTTCTCTCCTAGCCAATATAATCCAAATACAATATGAACTGTGTTTTCTTACTGCTTAATACCCCCGGTGCTGTATATACTCTGGTAATCTCTGTAGAACAATATAGAGTAATTTAGAAACCACGCGTTTGTCATTATTGACCAATTCAAACCAGTAGCATTCAACTTTCTGAAAGCAGTGAATCTTTATAGAGGAATTTGGTAGGAGGCAGGAGGGCATGGGTCGAATCGCGTAGGAGATTGTGAAACCCTAACATCAGAAACACAGTGTTGGTTTCATGTCAGTACGTACATAACAACTTCATGAAAAAAAAAATTCAAACCCTGTTTACATCCAAATTATAATGATTCAAAGTGAAAAATAATATGGTCTTCCTGACTGTGAGTTACCACTGTTCAGGTGTATCATGTTGGAATGAGACATATATAATCTAAAAAGAACAAGATGCATCAAGGGTAGCGTCTGAGCTCTCTGTTTATCCAGGAGCTAATTTTATGGTGCAGAACTAACCAGTGTCCACTGAATTTCACTCTGAAACCAACTGAATCGATTTGAGGAAAGAGTTGTTCAGAGGAACTGGATGATAAGGCATGGCGTGTTCTTAGCTGGAGTGTTAGAGAAATCCTTTTAACAGTCTTCAGTGAGCAGGGCAAGTAAATCACAAATCACTGTTAGCAGATTCATGGAAGAAAATTAATCGAATCAGACGAGATAATCTGATAAGGGTAAAATTGCTGAGGAAACAGTCTTGCCTCATATTGGAGAATGTAAGACAACAGTCTGATTACTAGGAGTCGTTATGAATAGGTGAATTATGTGCTAAATAATCATCAGAGTAAATCAGCATTTATTAATTCTTTTCTCTTTAAGCAATT